TACAGCACTAAAGACTTTGTTTTTAAGCTTTCATATTGACACAAAAACATTTACAGCTCCATAATGCAGTTAGATCTTTTGGATACTGGTTTTGGAGGTTGCCACATACAAAGAGTGAGTTGTAAATTGAAAGCATGGTGACAATATAAAAAGTTTGAAACGGGGACTGGAGGGAATGGTTCCCTGTCTAAGAGCACTGCTGCTCTTCCAGGGGACTCAGGTTCAGGTCACAGCACAACCATCTGTAATTTCAGTTCCAGGGATCCAACACCTCCTTGGGAAGTACGCACATTTCGCCTGCATATGCACACACACACAGACAAAACGCTGATACACATAAAAATAAATAGATAAATCTTTAAATTTATCTATGTATCTATTTAAATTTATCTAGAATGTTCTGCAGCAGGCTTGTCTTTTGACATCTTCTGAGAGACTGTAGATGCTTTCAGGTCCTTGCTGGTCTCCTAGGAGGTAATCTCCAGGTCACACTTGATACTTTCACGCTTTGAGACATCGAAATCAAGACTATTCTTAGTTTAGAGTCATGGCTCCCGGTGCTTGCCTCATGTTTCCAGAAAGACAAAACATGCCATGTAGCCCCAGTGGGACTAAGCAAAGAGACCCAGGGTTGAGCTGACTAGAGCTTCCGGTTAAGGTAAAACCCAAGGTCGGAAAGTTGGATGATATGCCATTTGAAAAGATGGGAATTTCTCCTTTGGAGGTGAAACTAGATCCAAGAAGAAATGGTCCAAGTTAAAGGATGGTCAACCCCTGACATCTGTGTGATGGACACAGAGGCAGCCTGGCCCCACGCTAAGCTCCATTACATTCTCACTCAGTCCTCACAAGTTTAGGGGGAAGAGGTTTTGTTTCTCTCTATGTTGCTGATGAAATGGAAGCTTAGAAAGGACGTCCTTTGTCCAGGTGGTGGCCCAGAATGGTGTCTGTGAGATTCTTGGTCTGTTTGCTCATTCACCAAGTGTTAGGTAAGGCCTGGGGTTTTCAGACCATTCCCTTTCAATGTAAGGTTATTGTCCCTCATACCTGAGCTGGTGCATACACTATGGTCCTTCTCATAGTTTATGCTCTTTAGTCTCTCTCCTGCCTCCTTCCACCATTGTCATACACTCTTAGGATGCGGACCTTGAAAGAGAGTGGCTGGGCTTCAGTCAGCCCTCTGGGAGGCGAAGTACAAAGTACTTACTCTCCCTTTGTTCGCTGATAGTGAGAACATCTTTGAGAAAGGTCTCTACTGAAAGCAAAGCTGCCCTTCATCAGACCATTCAAGTTAATATCTGTCAGGAAAAAAAATGGATGTAAAACTTCCTTGATATAATAACTCTCTCAGAGAAAGTTAGACTGATTAATTATGACATTTTATTATTCTGGTATTTATTCAAGCCACCTGGGCTCACTTTTGAGTAGCTTGTCCACTCAAGGCCTATATTTAATTATGCCATCAGATCTCAGGAATATTTAATAGCTACACATGCACAAAGACAGTCCAGAGATAGTGTGGAGCTGGATTTTTATTTCTCTGAATAGTGATGCTGACTTGTCACTCACTGTGCATTATGATTTGCTGTGAGGGCCTAACTCAGAGATGATATTGCCACCTTCATTTAAGATCAGCAGCTCTAAGTGAGACATTCCAGGTTGCAAGGTCAAACCTGCCCACGTGAGGTTCTCAGTGGGCAATAATGATTTTAACAAAGCCCAATAATGATTCAGACAAAGATCACAGAAGTTATCAAATGCTTTATTTTCTTCCAGTTTCCCAAACACAACAGTAGTTATTATTGTATTCATTTTATAGATGGCACCTATTTTCTTATCTACTTAATAGGCACTGTGAGAGGCAGAGGAGTTATCAGATCTGGCATAGTTTGTATCATACTCATGAAAACCCAATCAAGATCATTATTCCCAATTTAAAAAAAAAAAAAAAAAAACACTAGGCAAGGAGTTTAAGTGACTTACTCAACACAGTGGGCAGCTGTTAATGCTAACCTCAGTCTGTCTTCGTGGCCACTTGGCCACAGTCGCCTCGGTATGCTATGCAGCCTCATGCTCCAGATGAGGAACTTGAAGGCTCAGAGAGTTTGCTCACCAAGCATATAGCTTATAAACAGTAGGATGGCCCTCCTGCCCTCATTCTCTCATTGGAAGGCCTGTTCATTTCGCATTGTGCTAGGCTGTCTCTCTGCACAAAGAGAACAAATAAGGCTGCATGTTAAAACCAAGTTAAGAGCCCAAAGTCCCTTTGTGATATGTTTAACCACTATAGCCAGTCTTTCCTGGCATTTCCTTGTGATGTCCCCAAGTTTAGGCAAGGTGGAGTGCCCCACTGACATGCTCTATCCTTTGAGGACTGGCTGCACAGATCAAACTGTGCTCCGGAAGTTGTCCGGAGCAGCTAAATCTGGACTATGCAAATCCAGCTTTTATTCGTGCAGAAGCTCCTTTTGTAGCCATGCTGCAACTGTCTCTTTCATCTGTTGAGAATGTGCTCCAGGCCAGCCCCTTGCTTTTACGAGACCGTTTCCCTGCTCTGTAAGGAACGAACGCCTCTCCATCTGAAGATGATTTCCCATTTCTCTAAATAGTAACTTACATTTGTGGCGGAAGGCTAGGGACATATCAGTGTCTCAGGATAACAAGGACCAGTCACTCAGAGTTGAAATGTTGCCAATCTGTACAGTCTCAACATCGAGAGTTTTAAAGCATTGAGATTCATTATTTTTAATCATCAAGTATCTTCCAGATTTCTGAAGGAAAAGTGTATCTTAATAAAGTCCTTCCTTTTCCTTGAATCACAGACTCAGGTAAATGGTCCTTAAACTTGAAGTGCCCCCCCCATCTATTAATGTCAGTAAACATCAGATAAATATCCAGATGTATTTAATTATTTCCTCTCAAGGAAGTATGTCCTATTTAGATAGTCTTTAAATAAATTGTTTCCAAACTGAACAAATAAACAAGAAATAGCTGAAACTCAACAGCTTCGACTGCATAGAAAAAACAAAACAAAACAAAACAAAAAAACCTAAAGGCTTTAAAAGAGTAAATAGCCTAGGAAAAATACGAGTCTTACTATGTACTCATCTGTATTTTGAGAAATAAACCTCAGATACATTTTATTTTTCAAATTAAGCTGCTGATTTTCAAACAATAGTAATAGTCAATGGGAGAACTTTATACCTATCCCAAATGTACTCCACCTCAAATGTGTGGAACAAACAATTTGTTATGGAGAGTATTTTGTTTGTTTGTCCTGTTTAAAGATAAGAATGTAAGAAGGAGGACTTGGGAGATGGCTCAGAGATTGGGATCCCATATTGCACTTTAAGTTCCCAGCAGCCACTGTGGATGGCTCCCAACTGCCTGTACATCCAGATGTAGGGGATCTGATACCCTCTACAGGCATCTGCACCCATGCGCGCACACACACACACACACACACACACACACACACACACACACACACACACGAGGACATACACACTTATAAATTAATCTTTAAAAGGGATGGCTCTGAACTAAAAGTCTCCTGTCATAGTGTGCTGTTAATCATGTGATCAGGTTATTAAGAGTGTCCCTTTGTGCATGAGAAGCCCAAGATCTGTGTGGCAAAGGCCATGTAGAGAGTAAAAATCTCAGAGGTAATTCTGACCTTGGTGTGAGCATTCTAAAGCTCATGTTTATTCAAATTATAGCTGGTAATTGTTTTGAAATTGGCATAAAGATTTTAAGTTAGCATTTACAATTAATTAGGTGAAATTTGCTTCTGCTTCTGCTAGCTTTTGAGTAAAATTAAAACAGTAGTGAGTTTACCTTCTTATCTCTGCCCAAACCACCCCAACACACCCAGTCTCACCAGATCCAGGAGGCTAAGCAGGTCTGGGCCTACTTAGTACTTAAATGGGTGACCCCTTGGCAAAATCAGGTGGTACAGCCTCAAAGAGGCTTCTCTTTTCCTATCCAGTTTGGTGACCTTTTATTAAACTATGAAATATTGAGCTTCCACCTTTCAGAAACCCTGTGGAGATATAGCAAAGGCATCACCAGGTCCAGATGATTAACCTTGAGCAGTTTTCTGCCCACAATTTTTTATTGCCAGCAATGATGGGGAACACGAAGTCATGGTCCTAAGACATGACACTTTTTAAAACAGATCTCAGTGGGATTAAAATGCTTTCCTGGTCATTGTCCTGCCACCAGGAACTCATGTGTTTGACACTGAGCCTGGATGGTAGTGAAGCTTTTCAATATTTGATCACAGTTTTAAAATTGACTTTTGCCTTTCCTCAAAGGTTATTGTCTGTTTTAGCTCGATTGTGTGATAACGTATCCTGCTTCCTTCCTTTCTGGCTAGTGTGCATGTTACCCTCCTTCATTCTCGTCCTCGTCCCTTGCTTCCCCCACCCCTGCCCCCATTAGAAAACACCTTTCCATTGACCCTTCCAGAAAGAAAGCCCACTGTAAGAGAAGCACCCAATCATATACTTTAGGACCAGCAAAGCACTGATGACGCGTGGCAGCCAGATAAGCAGCAGTTAAAGGAGCAGTCTGCATCTTTCGGCAAAGTTATACAAGCTAATTGATAGAAAAATGTGATTTAAATAACTTGTTCAGGAAAGGAATTTTAGAAAATACAGAGAATAAATAAAATAAGTTCCACTTAGTAAAATAAGCAAAATGGATTGTTTTCTAAACGGCCACTGGACTTTCCAAATAGAAATATTTATGCGGAAGAGAGACAAACGGACCTTATGTACACCCATTTTGTCGCGTTCATTGAGACATTAAGTCTGGAGAGCTCTGGGCTATTTGAGGCCTAAGAGGGAGAGGCCGTGGGAGATATTTATTACTATTATTTATTTTGTAGTCTCGTTTTTCTTCTATGCCGTGTCTACAGTCTGGGCTACATGTTTCCAAGGCTGCAGGAGCCAGAATACTGAACTGCTTTTTGCTTTTCATCTTTTTTCCTTCCCCAGATCCCAGGCAGGCACAATCTTCCCCACCGTGGTCCTATGACCAGTCTTACCCCTCATACCTGAGCCAGATGACATCCCCATCCATCCACTCCACCACGCCGCTGTCTTCCACACGGGGCACTGGGCTACCTGCCATCACCGACGTGCCCAGGCGCATTTCAGGTAAAGACCAAACTTTAACTAGAAGCCCACTTCTGCACAGGGGAGGGAGTGGGGGGTGGTGATGGAACCAGCCTGGCTCGTGCATACTTGCAGTCACTGTCTATTGGAGGCATGTGACATTAGGCACCTGGTCTTCTGAATTTATGGGGCTACCAAACACTTGGAAATTTTCAATTCCAGAGATAAAAATTCACTAGAGATGGCATACTCTTCTTAAGATAACCTTGATGTCACCCAGTTAGTGTTCTGCTGAATTGTACCCCAGTTGAGAAGCACTGTCTTACAACTAAAGCCGTCTCCCAAAGATCGCACACCAGGCCTTCTTCTGCTTATAAACCAAAGTACAGACTGATGACTCTGCTTCTTTTGCCCGGGCTCCACAGTAACCAGTTCCAAGATTAGGACACTTAATGAGACCTAGTCCTTCACAGCACAGGGAGGATGCCTTGGAAGGCAGCATGTGGCAGCTCGAGACTAAGGCACACTGCCACTTTGTGTGGCAGCCCCAGTAGTCACAAATCCATCACTCCAAAGACACCCAAAGCTTGTGAATCAGTGGAAGTGTGTGTCTGAAATGACCTGGCCACCTTCTTCTCCATCCAGCAGAATTTAGCAGCGGGAGGCAGAAAGTTTCAGCAAAGACTCTAACAGACATGTAGAGGGAAGCTAAAGGCCCTCACCCAACCATATGAGTACTATAAATAACGGGTGGGGTCTTCCCACTCACTCTGAGGTACATGCTGCTCACTTTAATAATCAGATATGACTCCGCAGGGGCACACAGCCTTTGTGTCAGCATTTGGGCCCCAAGCACCTGTTTGACTCCTGGCCAGGTTAATGCCTTTCTTTCTCTCTTTGTTTCTGTTTCCATTTCTCTCCTTCTATCAATTTTCTGCAAAGCTCGGAGCCGTTACTCTCTCCGCTGAGTCTCGTCACTGACAAGCTGAAGCTCCGCCAGCAGGCTTCCATTAGTCCACTCTCCTTTATTTCTTTCAACTTGGGAGGAGGGAAGGCTTTGTTTCTCAAGCGAGTAGCAGGAAGGGGCTCTCTGGTCCTACTGTCTTCACACTTTCTGCTGCAGATGGACTCCCGGGGTGAGTAGGGAAGGGAGAGGGGTGGAGGGAGAGCTGGAAGGTTCTTTGGATAACCATGTTACCACATTTTATTGACCGCTGCTGCCTTTGCTTATGAATCACAGGACATCTGTAGGGAGCTGGGCCAAGTAGAGACGTATAGTTTTCATCTCTCTTGAGTGAAATCACCATCTCCTTTAGGCAATGCATCAATCAGGGCACAGGAGAGGAAAAGGAAAGACACACAGGGGGTGTAGAAAGTTAGCAAAGGGACGAGGCCCCAGGATTGGATGGAGTTGACTTAGTTTTGATCATCTCGTCTGTAGTTCATAGGGAGAATTGGATTTGCATAGAGCCAAAGTGACTCTTAGAACAGACTTGTTGCATTTAGGGTTCCTTTGGGCTTCCATCTGGCCAACCTTTGAAGTTGAAGCAGATTTTGCTCCTTGAAAAAGTCCCAGTGGTGATGGAGAGATGGCTCAGCCATTAAGAGCACTTGCTGTTCTTGTAAAGGCATATATTTTGTGCCTTTACATTGGGCAGATGAAAAGCATCTATGATTTTAGTTACAGGGGATCTGATACCCTCTTCTGATCACCATGGGTGCTGGTCACACGCATGGTATGCATACACATACTCAGGCAATCACACACGGAGAAAATAAAAGTAAACAAATCTTTTAAAAGAAAGAAAGAAAGGGCCCCAGAGGACAATTGTAGCTATAGAGACACAAACCTACAGTGTTTTCTTTTTGAGGTGTGTTCATACACGATTCACCATGGAAACTGCTGTGAACAACTTTGAATAGATGACTGCTCAATGGGCTAGTCCTCGGTGTTTGCCATTCACACGTGTGATGCGTGATGTGGAACAAGGTTATTTTGATCCCTGTCACTTGAAGCATTTCCATGAAGCGACATTCTAGTTCTTTCTGTTGTACAGAGAAGGAGGTAGGAGCAGAAGCTGTCTGGCTATGCAGATACGTGTTGAACCTAAGCCAGAGGCAGGAAGGAGACCCTGCTTTACACTGGTTAAAACTCAGTTCAGTCCAGTTTTTTCCTCCCCTCTGAGCATCTTTGTGAGTTGAGACTGGTAAAGGAGTAACATGGAGCCAAGGTGGGAGGCTCTGTATAAACATTAAAGAGAACAGAAAATCCCTCCTGTCAGCGTGGGGAGAAACAGGAAGGAACAGGCAGCTGGGACTGTCAGATGCTGGAGGAACCCTGAAAGTCCTGACCTGACTCTTGGCTGTGGGGCCATGCACCCCACCACTCCCTGAAAGGCTCAGCCCATCTCCAGGAGCGAGGGCCCATCCTGGGGTTCATGTTGGGGAGACAATTGTTTTGTAGGATCCTAGGGGCCAAACTGCACAATTTCTACTTTCTTACTATTCTGTTTGATGTATAAAACCATTCTCTAGATACTCAAGACTGACCTTTCTGCAAGTGAGACTTGTTTTGTTTTTTTTTTCTCTAGAAAATGAAACCCTTTGGATGGAATCTATGTGTACTGTTGCTAAAGACAGCCCTCTAGCCTGTGTACCATGGCCAGCCCTCTAGCCTGTGTACCATGGCCAGCCCTCTAGCCTGTCTACCATGGCCAGCCCTCTAGCCTGTCTACCATGGCCAGACCTCTAGCCTGTCTATCATGGCCAGCCCTCTAGCCTGTCTACCATGGCCAGCCCTCTAGCCTGTCTACCATGGCCAGTCCTCTAGCCTGTCTACCATGGCCAGACCTCTAGCCTGTGTACCATGGCCAGACCTCTTGTCCACCTATTGTTCATCTGTAACATGGACAGCTCAAATGCTAACCTCCATCACTGTCCTCCAAAAGTCACTTTTGAGATGCTTTCAGGTCAAATCTCTCCATCCAAAGGGATACACAGGATACTTGCAGATGGTGTTAGTTGAGAAATAGTAAGTTCAGATCCAAGTTTGCCTCTCATGCAAACATCAAGCAAAAGCTCCTTAACTGTCTAAAACTTAGGTTTATAAAATTTTGTTAATAGGGATATAATAATGATGCCTTAGGATTACTGGGAGAGTGTAAACTATTTAGGATAGACCTGACACACAACGTGTGACAGATTAGAGCTGACATGTTGAAGCTAGAATTGTTTTTAAAATTGTTTATGTCATTTGTAGGCAAAGCTTGGCTTACATTAAAATAAATAGGAAGCTAAAATTTTAAAAGAATATTATATGTTCTGTGAATATCCATAGGACATATTTAAAAACAAAACTTTGGAATATTTCAACATTTAATTGAGTTAACCCTCCTATGTAGTTAAAAATCACATAATATGAAGTTCACCTCATACAATATATAGCACATAGAATTTCTAAAGTATTTACATTATTATTAAATTTTTGAATGAATATTTATAAAGCTAAAATCAGGACATTCGCAAAAATCAATAAAGTATTAAGAAACATTAAATTATATAATAAGCCAAAAAAAATCTTAGTTATCATTCTGTTTACTAGGGGTGTGTGTCTGGTCTGTTCCAGGGCTCATAGGAATAGACACAATTAGAGAGATGTGTTTCTAAAGAAATTCCAGTTCACCCTGAAATACTATTCAAAGGAGACACTCTGAATGATTGCACTTCAGACCTGTAGAGGGTCTAGTTCCATGGCCTCCGGTTTGTAGGTGTAGGTTGGGTTCTGGAAATGAAGGAGCAACGGCAATGCCATGGGGTTGTGCTGACAGCTCCTATTCTTTCTGGGACCCAGGCAGGAACACGAGTCTCCTAAGATGACGAAGGCCTGTTTCCTGTTCCCCCATCCATACAGAGAAAGTTGACATTCATAGGTATGACATAAAGGTTGTTGTAAGAACGAGAGTAGTTTATAGGATTATAACCAAGCACTATACAATTGTCATTTAGTTGACAAATGGGCCTTCCATTGATTGTAATGTTTTTGGGCCATAATCAGTGAAGTTATAAACGTCAAGTTCATCATATCAGACATCACCTCATGCTGGGCTTCTTTCCACACCATGTGTTCTACAATAAGTAAGACTTTATATGACAAGTTTAAGTAACATCCCATCCCCCAGTGGCTTCTCATGTCATCTGTGTTATTCTAAAAGAACACCCACTACATAGGAGTAGCCGGAGTGGTTCCTGTAAAGAAGCAAGATATGACAAAGCAGAGACCAGAAGGATGTACACAGCCCAAACTGTAGGTCATTGCTGCTGCAACAACACTGTCTCTCGCGTGGCTGTGTGTGTGCAAGGGCACTCATGTGGCTTCACACAGCAATTTTAATGACTTTTCTGGGGGTCATTACAGAATACTCTGTACCTTTAAAGTGTGTCTCCTGTAATATTCTGCCATGAAAAGATAAAAAGAGTCCTTATTGACTCAGAAGGGAGGCCGTATTCTCTTCCTACCCTAGAACCTACTGGACCTTTTCTCCCCTTCTTTCCTCCCTCCCTTCCTCCCTTCCTTCCTCCCTCTCTCCCTTCCTCCCTTCCTTCCTCCCTCCTTCCCTCCTCCCTCCCCTCCTCCCTCCCCTCCTCCCTCCCCTCCCTCTTGGCTTCTTTCCTGGTGTGGAGGTGGACTGGACTGATGCACGCATTTCTTTGTGGTCTTTCTGCTCTCTGGAGACCTTGCTACTACACACAGGTTAACTGCTTGGTTGCGTTGGGAGAGGCCCCTAGGAGTTACATCAAGAATACTTCCATAAAGTTACTTTTTTTTTTCCCTGAATTTTTTTCCCTGTTTAATCAAATAGTCTTGAATTTCTTCTTTATATATCTTAGTATCAAAAGTAATTCTACTAGCTTTACACGGCCATTTGAATAGCTCTGTGAAAGTCAGCAGAGTGGCATTAGACTAATAAATAGTCACTGAAACTGTTTTATTGCTACCACACAATATAGAAATTTCTGGTGGTCAGGGGACAACTCATATGGTC